ACTGATTTTTTGTCACAGCTACTTCCTTTCTAGAAGTTTCTTTTTTCTCTTTTTTCCTTTCTTCCTTTCACCAGTTTTTGAAATGCACTTCTGATTTCTACTTTCTTAACGAAAGTGAGTTTATATAGACTTCTAGCTCAAATCATAATATTGAGTCTTCCCAAACATTCTGTTGTTTCATTTTTGGAAATTTATAACTTTTCGATATCTCATTGGATTTTCCTCTTTTTGATTTTGTTAGAAAGAATAAGTCTTTTACTTTCAAAATTATCTTAGAGCTTTTGATAGGCTCTGACTGCAGAGATATACATGGAAGAACCACTTAAGGTTAGTTTGCCAGTGAACTGAGACGTTGCAGAGAAAAAATCTTTGGTACTTAATTTTTAGTACCTACTATTTCCGAAAACGAGGAGAGTTTGTGCTGTTTTTGACGTCTCTGTAAGAATGTTGAACTTCGATTACTGCAGAAAACACCAAAACTAATCAATTTGGGACTTTTTCGAAAAACATAACTTTTTACAAAAAAATATATTTTTTTTAGCTGGAAACAGTACGTCGATAAACTTATGCACGAAGGAATTCAGGCTTTCTGCAGCGTTTCACATTCTTGGCGATCCAACTCAAAATGATCAAGGCTTATATAAGCTTTTTTCCATTTTATATGGCCTTCTTTTTCCAATTTCATCTCTGCAATCAGAAATTATTGAAACTGTAAGATGGTATTAACAAAAAAACTTAATATTTCTAAAAAAAATTACAAAGAAGCAAACACGTCAAGATATCGCCAAGTTAAAATTTTTGAAATGAAGCGATAGAACTTTCAGGACAACCTAATGCGTTATGGGATTTATTGGGTAGGTCCGAAAGTTCGTGCCGTTTTTTGGACCTTTTCTAAAATCATTAAAAACGACGATAGACAAATCGCTTTAACAACATCCAGTGCAAAATTTCTTCCTCTTTCCAGCAGCTATGTTCATTTTGTAAATGCTTCGACGGCCGCTGAGATAATTGCCGAGAACTAGAACCCTTGATTTTTACCATGTCTAAGTTTCGCTAATTTTTAGAACTTTCATTTTAGGCTTCTGAAGCTACTCTAATAACCATCTGAAGGGCAGACCTTTTTCAAATTATTGCAATTTTTTGCACTTTCTCAGCTTTCTCTTTAGAATCTTGCTGAATTATTTTACTAGAGCATAGATTCATGAAATAGTGGCGCAATACAACATTGCACCAAACACTTCGAAATCCTCAAAATACTAAAGTTCTAAAACTTGGTTAATATTATACTATTCTATTACTCACTAGTGTTACGAAGTATTAGGTTGTAAAGAAAGTTCCCGGGCACTTTTGGAAAATTCATTTTCAAACGGATTTTTTCAGCGCTCGGTCGGACTTTCACACAAAAACACAGTGTTTTATACTGTTCAATAGAGGGAAGCCTAAAGTTTTCAACAAGCATTCTGACTTTTATCGATGCCAAGATCTGCCAAGATCTGCCAAGACCATGCTTGACTGCACGTCAAGAAGGGAATTTTTTCCAACCACAAAAATTTAACAAATTTTCTTTTCACGGCCATTTTTTCGTGCAGTTTAAAGAATTTCGTCCAAATTATGGGTGATTTGATTGGAAAGCCTGTTAACTTCTGACCCGCAGCTGCACTCGAGTTCTGCGATTTGCGCTTAGAACTTACAAGCTGTCGAACTTGCATCGGACTGCAACTATTTTCGCAACTGGCGTCGCTTTTGCGGGGATCGCCCCGCCTGGATGATGGGTCCAAAAGATGTGCAAGGCATTACCCTAACAATGTTTCCAGTAATCAAAAATTTGGTCCTTTCTGTGCAGAACTAGAAGACTTCAAAGTCACTTACTCGAAAAATGGTGCATGGCGAAAAAAGGTCGATTTTTCAAACTTCCTGGAAAAAATTTTTTTGCAGGTGGTACTTAAAAAATTCGAATGGTCCCCATAACAGCCCCAGCAGTTCTCTATGTAAAAACATTATCTAGCCTCTCCAGCTCTCATCATGCCTGAGATAATCCTGCACAAATAGGCCACTTTTCGCGGCGACCTTTTCCCTTCTGCGCATGCTGGTGGACCGCAGTGAGGTGCTGAGAAGTCGGCAAGACAAACATATGTTGTGGACAAAATTGTCTTTGTGATGAAGTATGTGGCTTTAAAAAAGATTCAATCTGCATGAAGTTACAGCGATTTAAAAAAAATTTCCGCATGTGCCCGGGAACTTTCTTTACAACCTAATAAATGAGTGATTACGGCGTTAAATCGGACAGATTTTGTCATTTCGACTACAACCTTGCGCACACGTAAAATTGGAAAGTACAGCAATTTTGTCTGCAAAAGTGGCATATTTCGCGAAGAAAAGGTAGCCTTCAATAAGAGAAGGAAACGATGCATCGAATGGTACCTAAACTGTTCAATGTCTGGTTTTGCGAGGCCAGAATGAGCCAAATATAAAATTGGTTTATTTCAGAAAAAATATTTTGGTAATTCCAGTACGCATGCCAGAGAAGTGCAAATTGCATTAATGAAAAAGGTTTGCCCTATCAGATGGTTATTAGAGCACCATTTGAAGCCTAAAATGAAAGTTCTAAAAATAGTGTAACTTAGGTATTGTAAAAATCAAGGGTTCTAGTTCTCGGCAATTATCTCAGCGGCCGTCGAAGCATTTACAAAATGAACATAGCTGCTGAAAAGAGGAAGAAATTTTGCATTGGATGCTGTTAAAGCGATCTGTTTCTCTTCGTTTTTAATGATTTCAGAAAAGGTCCAAAAAACGGCACGAACTTTCGGACCCACCTAATATTTCATGCCGAAAATTGGCTGCGTCCGTATTTTAAAAGAGTAAAAAAGTTGGAAAGTTGCAAAACTTAGTTGCCAACATGACATATAGCAAAGCTTCTCACAAAAGTCGTCGACCGTCGCCGTTAGTGCGCTCTCAACAATTCTTTTGACCTAAGACTTTTCGGAGACAACACTCTCAGCCACTCTTTATTGGATTAATTCATGTTTTCTTTCTGCCATCTCCTCAACATTCTGTAACGACAGACTTTCAAGTTTTTTGAAAGACCTTGCATGCAACGCCTACCTTCCTTTTTAGAATTTCCAAATCGAAACAACAATCGACTAATCATTTGAATGTGCTTATGATCAGCTCTTATTCGTAAGTCAGTCACACTGCATTTTGTTAAATGATTGCGTAGAAAAGATAGCGAATAGGAGCAAGCACTCTCAGTTAAAAAGGCATTAAACAAATTGCATGCATGCTCACCGCTCCCGCTTCTCCCTATCGTTATTAATTCTAATCTTTTAAGAGTACTCTTCTTTCGTTACTAGAACCGAATAGAAAAAGTTTTTTAGAATGTAGACCCAGAGTGGCAGAATTCTGTTTCTTTTCATTTATCTAAAACTGATCAATACAAGAGGATCCCAAAAAACGCAGTGCCGAACTGCATTGTCATGCACATTATCAGATGCGCTCCTGATGAGCTGATCCCAAATCAACCTTCCATATCTCCTGAACGATTCTCGGAAAGAATTTGAATGTTAAAGTCAAAAGTCAAGTGTAGTCAAAAGCGTGAAGTCATCCGGATTTTGATGCATGAAAGGTGAACTGAATGAGAAAAGTGTACACTGAAAACCATTGTTTTTTGACTAATCGATTTCCGAAGCAGTGGCGTGCAATTTGCGGAATTTGGAAAGAGACCGCTCAGCAGATAGGAATGCTAGATTTCGCTTCCACTCTTTCATCAAGACGCATCTAGTGATATGTATTTCATATCAGATCGCCACAACGACTTAGTATCCCTCCCTATTTGGCAACTTTTCTCTAAAAAGGGCGCCCAGAAAATATTTTGTTGAGTCTTCTCTGAGAAAAGAGATAGGAGCACTTGCATGCTTGATCATTTTCAAACTGATTTACCATCTAATGCTAAAAATGATTTTCTTTTTTCAGGGAATCTTCACTCATCACGCCGTAAGGCCAATACTCATAATTATGCGAGCACATAATCTGACTTATTTAGGTGGTGATCGCTTTGCGGACCTGGCGACTAACGCCCACCAGGAAGTTCTGGCTGACACCATCGGTGTCAGCCAGAAGACGGTCTCCAATGCGGTGCGAGCAGTCGTCAAAGCGCTGAACAACACCCTAATCGTGCGGCACTTCATCCGCTGCCGATTAGGGGATGAGGAGTTTTGTCGTAGGAGCGCCGCCGCCTTCGCCTGAACAGGGCCTTTCCCGAACATCATCGGCGCCGTCGACGGCAGCTGCATACGGATACAGAAGCCGGCACATTCTGGCTGGCAATACTACTGCCGCAAGGGCTTTACAGCCCTAAATGTGCTGGCTGCTGTCGACGCCCACGGATGGTTTACGTACATAAATGCAAACTTTCCAGGGTCTGTCCACGATGCCAGCGTCTTCGCCGCTTCGCAGGTTAAATATGCCTACGAAGAAGATGCAGTTCCGCATGGCTACAGCTTCCTTGGAGATTCCGGATTCGCTAATGGGAATGATGTTATTACACCCACTAGAAATCCGACATCCAGGCAGGAGATCTCCTACAACCGATGGCACTCGAAAATGCGAGTCATCGTCGAGTACACCTTCGGTATTTGGAAGCGGAAGTTCGCTAAAGCATACGATCCGTGTGGCTCCCGAGCGTGCAGCTCAAATCATCATAGCTTGCGCAGTTCTTCACAATATGATGATGGCTATGGGTGTCTAGGTCCGAGGAGACTTGGGCGCAGACTCTCAGTTCTCCGTCATCCGCCAGAAGACTGCGCGGACATTCGTGCCTACCTTGTCAGTTGTATGTAGTTTTTTTTGTTAGTGTGTTCTATATGTTTTTTTTATTTTTCTTGCTGTTATAAAGGGTATTGTGTGCTTGTTAGACTATTGCAACTGTTGAACTCATAATTTTCTACTCAATATCTTTATCAGAAAAAATTAACAACAATAGCATGTAACGAACAGCAAGAGTAAGCGTATGATACTTAAAGATCTGTGGACTCTACGGATTCAGCTATGTTGGGATCCCCAACTGAGGGATTCCAAGGCTCTATTTGCTTTGTTAATTTCTTCACTTTCGTTTTTCCACGTAAGGTTTGCAGGGTTTCACTAATCATTTCTTTCATTTCGCCAAGCAGTTCCAGTTGCTTATCCAAAAAAGTGATTTTTTGGCTATCAGTGCTCTTTCTTCCTAAAATGAAAAATCTTTTGCAACCTTCATATTCAAAACGAACCCACTTTTAGAACCTCCATTTGAAACTTATTAACTTCCCTATCCGTATATTTGCGACGTTTCGGGGGCGATATTGGCGACACATCGGAATCAAACTAGAACAAAATCTATAGTGATAATCTAACTGATACTAATACATACGTCATTGAATTGCTCTTGTATCCGCTTGAGTCTGATAGCTCTGAGTTCAGCGTCGGCTATAACCTCCGGAGAAGAGGAATTCCCTCCCTCCAACCCTCCGTCCTTCCGATCCCTCGATGTCAGACGGGTAAAAATCGCTTCCGCTGTGCTCCGGCTGTCGTATTTGAAATGTTTAGTTATACTAAGCTTGTTGGCACTTCGCATCATGATTACCTTATGTCCTTCCTTTTTTGCAAATCGTGTCGGTTATCCCTTCCGACCCATCCTCCGTCCTCCTTCCTTCCTCCTTCCACGTTATCGCCGAAATTATCTTTTTCGCAGTATCGTTGTGACTGTTTCTAAATAGTGTGAGCATATATTGTAAGCATGTTATGTCATCGATAGATCCATACCTTATGCGTGTTAGAGTTAGATTCCCCTCCCTCCCATTCCCCCTGCATCTCCGCTCGATATCCACCACCCTTTACCTGAATATGCACATTATCACGCTAAACTCACAGCAAAGCAAATCTATACTTTATCCACATAAGTCTCCATATTTCCCAGCCCAGCCATAACGGCTTCCCTCCCCAGCGTCCTCGCCAGCAATGTCTCCGCTTGGCTTAACGAAGAAAGAGTAGTTGAGATTGTTTTTTCTAAAACGGGGTCCAATCCGCCTCCTGTGCTGCTTCTTTATCTAAACTGTACGTTGTAATCATTCTCGATAAGTCAGCACGTCCATTCACCTTTTTTCTTTTAAAATCGCTTCCCGCACACGCGCTTTGCGATTGCGCCAAATTCTCTTTACTTGCTCTATCGTGAGCACCCTTTAACACTGCACAAGAACAAGATCCTGAAATTCTTTCCAAGCTTTTGATTTTCGCCTGTTTGCCTCAGGGTTCCTCGCTTCGTTTGAATCAAGAAGGATCCCTCTTCTCTTCAGAACTTTTTCTATGATAATGTCACTGCGGACCGATCTTCCTTCCATCATGCAATCTTATTCAGTACACTTAAGTTTAAAACATTTTATTGGTATTTACTGTTGTTCTGTTTTTTGTTCCTCAATTTCTTCAGACAGAGTGAGTATCGTTAGTTTAGACTATTAGACTAGACTTTTACCGGTTTTTAGACTATTATCTTATAGCTTCATTACTTATTCAAAGTTCTGTATCCAAACTTGTAGAATTAGTCCTCTAGAGAATAAAACACACACTTGAGAAAGTGGAAAGACAGTTCATAATAAAAATTTTGACACTCATAATCTCGTCGTTGTAGAGATGGGTGAACAATGTATTTTAGAGATCCGTCATACTTCGCCCAAAATCGCAGGAAAGCGACAGAACGCTTCCATTAATCTATCTTTTCGAGAAATCAATGAAAACACTGCAATGTTGTACTGAGGATATACTACGGCACTGCGAAACATGTTTATAGTAGAATTAATTAATTAATCAAGACAATTTTTGTTCAAGATAACGAGGCTTTTTCATTACAAAAATTGATCAATACATGAGTACTTTACAAAGTCACTTAACGCTTTTTTCTCTCCTTTTAGCACCAACATTGCTATGGAAAACAAATAAATTCTCTTTCCCAATTGTCCAACGAGAAAAAAACTGAAGCGTAGATGCAGAATTCCAATTCTCAGTCTTGAATTAGCAATATGTTGCTAATCTTCCGCAACCAGAAATGTCACAAGAAAAAACACAATTCCTTATTTTCTTATTTGTCAAGATTAGAGACAAACACAGCCTTTTCCCCCGGTAAATCCCCTGGCACAGAAGAAAGGAAACTGCTGCTGTTCCCAGCAGAAAATGTTAGCGATTGTACTTCGAAGGCACCTGCCATACTTGATCCTCTTGATCCGCCTAATCCACTTAATCCGCTTGATTCGCTTCGTGCAAAACGCGCGCACTCAGCAGTCTGTCATTTGGCGCCGCGTAGGTAAAAAGGGATCTCGTATGGTTAGGCAAATTCGTTGTACGCGACGCCAAATGACAGACTGCTGAGTGCGCGCGTTTTGCACGAAGCGAATCAAGCGGATCAAGCGGATCAAGAGGATCAAGTATGGCGGGTGCCTAAGCTTCAGAAAGCTGAGATTCACTAATCGCCTCAATGTGACCGAAAGCACGTCAAAAAACTATGGAACAAAAGAAAGCAACATGAAACTGCAATGACGTTCCGATTAACATCAGAACTGCAAACAGCCAGAATCGGCTGCACTTGTGCTGAGCCCATTAAGCATGACTGAAGAGGATTTCGGATAAAAAAGAAGAAAAATGAAAGTTTGCAACATTAAAGTGGGTGGATGATAAGTACGACAAAGCTAAAATAGATAAGAAAACTGAAAAAAAGACTCACTATCCCGAAAGAAGCAGTATAGCTTGTGCTGCTGTTCCTTGCAAAGCAATTGCTAAACTCTGATTGACGTACTGCTCCATTGGCGGTACATTTGCCACTAAAATTTTCAGTAATTCACTATTCTCATTCTTTTCTCTGCTTTTCCCTAATACATTGACGAAAACAGACCCGAATGGTGGGTGGGTAATGATGATGCCGAAAGAAAAGATGATTGAGCCGTAATTTGCTTTCCTCAGCTATGTCTTGGATCTATATTTTGTCACAGAACACATATAGGCTGAACCAACCAGCATCGATCCTGCGCTGGCATGCCTTGCGAGGATGCACGGTCGCATGCGACGTGCTTTAACGCGTAGCAGTGTTCGCATGCGTCAAACCGCAACGTCGCAAGTCCCGGCATGCACGACGTCGCATGACCGATGCTGTTTGGTCATATGTTTACTAACAGTAGGGACCAAAACAGAAACTTCGAAAAACTAAACAGTATTTTGGAAAACATCCCAAAAACAAGCAAGTCTTCTGAATAGACAAATTGTTTTGGAAAGCACTGCATTATGAGTAAATAAAATACGATCATTTGGCCGATTTAGTGTTCGAAACACATCGAAGCCGAAATCAAAAAGATACAAATGCCCGAAAACGAGGTAAGAAATCTTACCTTCAAAAAGTCCTACGAGCTTTACTTGCTCGTGCAATACTGTCTACATCTGGTTCTTGTCTGTAGATTTGCTCATTTTTTTCCACGCGGAACTCGAGATACATATCAACACACACAGTAGGTCAAAAAACTAAAAAAGTTGTCTTTTTTAGGTTTTTCGCACTAGATTGCTGATTTTTTGAAACTAATGCCTGCAAAAGGTCATATAGGTTCACGGTTATACTTTTAAGGTTTACTATAGAATAAATTATGTTGAAGCAGCCCAGAAAAGTAGGAGAATTGTAGGGCACTCTAACAGTGGTTTGAAATGGACTGCTCATATGAATAGCCATTTTAGACACTTGCGGACTGATAACTGGAGACAGAAAATAGCAAACTATATACTTACCTTTCCATTTATAGCAACAGGTCTATCGAAAATTCCATGTATTCCTAGGATAGCGCTCTGGTATGGGTTGATCTCTGGCCTGCCATAGACCGATCCGAAAACTCCACCACTCGAAATAGTAAATGTGCCTTCATCCATACCTAAAGCTAGTCTATTATTCCTGTCCTAAACCCACTCATTCGCTATTTGATCTAACTGTTTGTTTTTATGAAATCTTACCTTTTCTTCGAGTGCTGCTAACTCATTTTCAATCTGGGCATAGTTTATTAACTCAACATTACACAGAACTGGTACCACTAATCCTTTGGATGTAGCTACAGCAATGGATGTGTCAACGAAGTGGGGATAGATAATCTCATAAACATCAATAACTGTAAACCAGATACTCTTAAGCACCATGATACTAAGCCATGCTAAGAGCTCACCTGCGTTAACTACTTTTTTGAAGAGCATAGGCATCTGCTCGCACGAAAGGAGACATTAGACCTAGTTTGGTACGATTTTTCTTTATGAAGTCTTCCTGGTACTTCATTCGCATCTCGATAATGTTGCTAAAAGAAAAGAGTTCGAGCTATGCACTCTCATTATCAAAAACTTCCCCTCCCGGACTCTTCACGACTGATTCACACCCGTATAGCTGCGTCAGACTCAAAAACGAAGAAAAAATAAGAACTATAAAATGGTTATCTTCGATCATTTGACATTTATCATGACAAAGTAGAATGATAGGAAGAAAAAAGAGCTAAAGGATATTGATACTACATGTCAACCTCATTAAAAGTAGTAAGCATAGCATATGTGTTTTGTGCATCCTTCAATCGGGCTCGAATACGCAATCGCATTCGACTCATTTTCACGCGGATCTGCAAGACACCTTTCAAAAGAATCTCCAAAAATTTCCAAACGAATGCGAAAATGTTATTGAGAATCTCACTTCTTCCCTTGCTCCAGTAATGGCTAATTCGAGAGATACACCTGCAGGGAGATTTGTGCGCTGAACTGGGATAATGCTCACAGGTGTAAAGTTCGTTGGTGTAGGTGGAGGGCGTAAAACTGGTAGCGGTTTGGGATGTCTCCTGAAAAAAACAAAGGATGTGGGGTATGCTCCACCAGCTGAAAGTCTTAGAGTCTTCGAGACCTTCTGCTAATAAATAACACTTGTATGTTCCGTAATCAGATAAATAATTTGTCATAAAATCTTTTTCAAATTTCTGCTTCCCTTAACTCAAATCTCTTACTCTTTGCGCGCTCATGATGGTAGCAAAGTCAAGAGAAGTCGCACGTGTGGCAATAAAGGTTCTTTTGAAAATGACTTTAACTACTGACTATAATCTTCCTTCTCTACCTCCCTGTGTAGAGTGGCAGTGTCACTTCAAAGAGCCACAATCACAGTCTTAGATGAAGGAAGTTTCAAAACTGGTTGGCTAATACATAAGTTCAATCGCCTTTGCGACTACATGTCGCAGAAGAATTTTTGTTTGATATTTGGTATCTAGAAGGAGCACTCTGATTTGAAAATGAAATGTGAAATTCGATTAGAATTTATTTCCTAGTGAGAGAAAGGCTCAAAGAACTAACAACTCTCACTGTGCGCAAATGTGGAAAAAATGGGTTTTTTCCATAACAGAATTTCAGAAAGGCAGGTTTTGTCGTAACCTACTCAGATAATCGCCGGGGGCAGGCGGTCCGCAAACTCGCGCTTTTCTGCAGGCGGTCAGCAGGATTTCGGGGCGTGGCCAAATCTTCAGCGGGCGGTATTTCCGTTTTCTGCAAGCGGGCATCAATACAAAATTTTCTGCAAGCGCTCGTCAAACAATCTCTTTCAGCGAGCGCTGGCCAAACTTTCAGCAGGCGCTCGGACTCTTTTTACGCGGTTTCGGGCGTACGCCGAGAAAAGATGAGACTCTATGTGGCAGAGGTGCCATCGATGGTTTCATTACCCAAGTTTGGGGTACTTTCTCTCAGCGGAAAGTACCTGAAGGCTGTGCGGTCCTTCAAAAAGGACCGTGCGGCTCCCAACAATTTTGCATGTTCTCGCGGAAAGTCCGCGAGAATGCGGCCACTGTGCTGCAACTTATGTATAGAAAAAACGCGATAGATCTTCGAGCGTTCGTCTAAAAATTGGCCAAAATTATTCCAAATTTCTGCAAGCGGGCCACAAAAAATCAGCGAACTATTTTTCCGGTGCCCGCTCGCTCAAAATTCGCATGGCCGCTTGCCCCCGCGATTATCTGAGTAGAAAAAACTTGGGTTTATCCAAATACCAAATCATCTCTACATTAATCACAGCATTAAAGCGAAGAGAAAGTCAAAGATTTGGGTAATTTAGCCATGTTAGGGCATAAGCGTCCTTTACCGATGATGAAAATTTCCAAGTAGCTGACATGTGATAATACTCAGATAATCGCCGGGGGCAGGCGGTCCGCAAACTCGCGCTTTTCTGCAGGCGGTCAGCAGAATTTTGGGGCGTGGCCAACTTCAACGGGCGGTACTTCCGCGTTCTGCCAGCGGGCAGCAATACAGAATTTTCTGCGAGCGCTCGTCAAATAATATCTTCCAGCGAGCGCTGGCCAAACTTTCAGCAAGCGCTCGGACTCTTTTTAGGTATTTTCGGGCGTACGTCGAGCGCAGGTAAGACTCTGTGTGGCAGAGGTGTCACCGTTGGTTTAATTACTCAAGTTTGAGGTACTTTCTCTCAGCGGAAAGTACCTGGGGGTTGCGCGGTCCTCCACAAAGGAACGTGCGGCCCTCGAAATTTTTGCATATTCTCGCGGAAAGTCCGCGAGAATGCGGCCACTGCGCCGCAGCTAATCCATAAAGAAACCGCGATTGTTCTTCAAGCATTGGTCTTTAATTTTGCCAACTTTCTTCCAAATTTCTGCAAGCGGGCCGTAAAAAATTAACGAACTATTTTTCCGGCGCCCGCTTGCCCAAAATTCGCATGGCCGCCTGCCCCCGGCGGTTATCTGAGTAGAAGCTTCGAACTACTTCAGCGCAAAAAAAAACTATGAGTAAAGAACAACACACCAATTTTTCGTGAAGTTAACTTTTTTAGCCATTTCAATATTACTTGAAGCGCTTGGCGCAAGTCGGGTGGTGGTGGTGGAGGCCCTTTGATGAAGGTTGTGGTGCAGCAGCTGGCTTGGCCTCTTCCTTCGGTGGAGGTGGTTTCGCTGCTTCTTTAGGTTCTTTAGCAGCTTTCGGGCTTCTTTAGCAGTGGCCTGAGATTTCGTTGACGCACGCACAAGTGCCGGAACTCAACGACCAGTCATCTTAGTCTGATGATAAATACCCTATAGAAGCTGTCACCGAGTCGTTAACAATAATGACAGTGACTATAACAACAAATAGCAGGCTTATTGGAAAAAAAGGGCAGGTTTTAACGTTTCGAAGCGTTGTTTGGTGTACTGTAGGCAGGTCCAGGAACGCACGATTATCAGGTCGTGAACTTGGCGTACTCGAGCTCTAGTCTCGTGCCATTTTTCTGCGTCTCTCACATTGCCCACTATCTGAGGAGGAAAGTCGAGCTCGTGTACGAGCTCGTGAGACATGTCGTGTCTAAGGTCACGAGCTTTAGCTCAAGCTTAGTTGACGAGCTGTTCTCGACGTGATTCGACGAGTGTGTTGAAGGATAGCAGGCAAGTCGATCAATGCATTGAGGAATGAAACTAAGCTCGAGCTTATCTCGCGACCTAGTACGTTAGGAGGTAGGGGGGATTACTACAGGCCTTGAATCACTTCATAACTTACAAATAAAATACCTAATCGAAGAGTTTGATAAAATTCACATAGCCTTTATGGAATTGCGAGAAAATAGACTTATTGTTTATCGCTACCCTTTTTTTTTTCAAAAATTTTCAAATCGTACGATTTTTGAAAGTGGATGAAAGCCGAGCGATATTGTATACACCACTAGTTGCTAAGTGAAAAGCAATGATAATTTTTAATTTGGCGAAAACTGCGAAGAGAGTCCACAAGTTCGGGAAGTTGTGTTGCAGAGTTTTCCCATGCTAAATCCACTAAACATTTTTCCTCAGCTTTTCCGAGCTTTTCTTAATCATTTTCTTGCGAAATAAATCACACATTTCTGCCTCAGGCAGCATAACATAGAGAATAATATATTAGGTCGTTCCATAAGTTCGTAGCGTTTTCATTTTCGTCGTTGTTTTCTGGTGAAGCAGTTGGTTTACGGCAAATTATCTGGTATCAATCGACAGCCAAGTTTTTTCTGCAAAACCTGCTTGTTGTTTTTGAAGCATTCCTGATAATCTTTGGTTCAAAATTTCTCAAAGCAAAGTTTTTGAGTGGGCAGAAAATGGCCATTTCGGCACCTGTTCTTTTCGCATTTCGTCCATATCCCACAAATATTTCTCTGTATGTACTGTCGGAGTAGCAAGTAGCAAGCAACGCTGATGTACTTGACACAATGGTGTGCAGCCAATATGCTAAGAACTGTTAGAACGATGTCTCAAAATTGCTGTCTTCGACTGCTGCAGCTCGAGTTTTACGCGTCCATCGTAACAGAATGTTCTCGTCCTGCTATCACACCTTGAGCGATGAGCTCTGTCTAGGTGGTGCAAAAGTTTGAATGCAACTGGTGACCAGTGACGCTTTCCAGAAAAATTTTGGCTCAGAAAACTTCCTCATTCCGGCCAAACGCAAAACATCTACACATACCGTGAAAGTGCGCTCTATCTCCGTAGCGTCTACCTTGACAAGGATTCTTGTTCTACGTGCATAATAGTCCGGTAAACAGTATTCTTCATCACTCATAACAATTTCGAATAGAAACTTTACTTTCGTGACTTCCGTACATAGCGCCGAAGATGGAGATGCCGAAAGCGCCATTTTTTGCTACACTAAAAACCCTGCTTTGAGCAGTCACAAAACAAAGATTGTCGCGGACTGGGCCCCCGTCTCCCAAAGTCAGTGGTACAACGGCTCTCCTGCATCGGCGAGGGGAGCCAGGGGTCCGATCCGTGAGAATAGTGAAACGTAACGTGTGAGGTGGCTACCTGTGCAAATGCTACTTGCGCCTGCCACAAGAGGACTCCCTACACACGCAGAGGCCCTTGCCACCAGCCTGCTTGGTATAGCGACTCGTCACTTGCGACTCGACCATGCCTCCAACCGTCGACAGTTGGGGCGTGTACTCATAACTGAGGCCCTTAACCGGTATCGTGCCAGCCTGCTGCAGATACCGGTTAAGGGTATCTGCAGCAGGCTGGCACCCAGCAGGTAAAATTACAAATAAACATGAGATGATGACACAATATCCCGGAGCCACAGCCGAGCTGTGATCACCGCTCCAACACAAATCACACCTGTACAATGCCCACCATTTATCCGCATTCTTATCCCTACACTCAAACATACAGGATGAGCACAACCAGCCAGATGTTATCCTAGGGGCCGGCAATATCGGAAACCCCCCGAGGCGGTGTCGTTGGCGTGTGCCA